CATAACATTTACACCACCAGGCTGTTACACCAGACTAACGTGGTGGAAGGGACTAAGTCGCCTGGATAACTGTACCTGTCTTCTGAAAGAAAACAGCACTGGTAACTACCTTGCCTTCCACATTACTGGTATTATTGCTGAAGCCAAATATAGGATAACATTATTTATTGATGAATAACACGCATGAGTAACACAAAGCAAGCACAGACTTAAGTGTCAGAGGGCAAAATATACTTTTCACCTGACATTGCAGCAATGTCTGTATCCTGCTACTTGATTACTTTCCTGGTACTGTGACTTACGCTTAGCAAGCTCATCAACAGTATGTATCATGTGTCCCATTTTCCTTCCCCAGCCTTTCAATTAACAGCATGAACACAGCTGAATATGAACTGCATGTGTATAAGGATTTACTTTTTTAAAAGAAAAATGTTACTTTATGAGCTATGAACATTCCTACAATTTGGTTAGGGCATTTTAAGAAATGAGATGCCTCTGAGAGGCTGAGTGTACAAAGTATGGGTGTATATTTAAATATGGAAAATTAACCTCTTTCAAAATGATTATCCATGATTCTATCATGTTTCCCTTTATTGAATTACTGCCAGTCCACCACTAAGTCCCTAACTTTCCTAGCTTACAGACTTGGATACAATACATTGAGGTAAAAATGTGGAAAGTTGAATCTGCTTATCACTACTCTAGCCAAGAAAAAGTAGCATTAATATCACACTAACATTAGGCTGCAAACTTGTTACAGAAACAAAACCTGATTACACCAGAATCATAGCTGAGGGGTTAAACATGATCCTAGTTATGTCCACAGCAGTTAGCAGAATGCTGACTGGTTTTGTTTATTCCAGACACACATGCAAAACTCTCCCAGCACCATTTACTGCTTCACCACCTGCCCTCATGTACCTGGGAGAGCCTTGCTGACATGCCTCTTGATTTTTTTTCCCCTAGGTTCAATTCCCACCATCCTTGAGAGGAATTTTAGGAGGGATGCTGCAGAATATCAGATTCCAAGTGATTTAACCTACATCTCTTTGCGGAAAGTTTCAAGTCGAAGTTTGAATACAGGCAATTCCAACTCAGCCCCTCCTTTGCTGCGTCTGCTGGCCCTGGAGCACATCTCACACCTCAGGGGAAAAGTTATTCCGTGCCAAAGCTGTTTTGCAATGTGGGCAAGACCCATGTTTGAGGCCTTGTTCCCCAGCACAAAAAAGCTATACACAAAAACATGTGCTGAGCCAGCCCGCAATAGTAGGGCTACTGTCACATACCAACTTAGTAATGCTCTGCTGCAAAAAGAACACACAGCACTGCCTTGTTATGCAGCAAAAGTCTTGGATACTCTGCTGACTTACATCGGAAGCCTGTCACCTGTTCTTCCTGGAAACTCTGAATTCTTCAGTGCTTATTTAAAGCAAATAGTACCAAAGATTTCACTGCCATATAGCACACAGTGACTTAATCACTACCTTCTAAATGCCACCAGATATAGTATGGTATCTTATAAACAAAAAGATAAAAACAACACTTGCAAAAACAATATATGATTTTTCAAGAGTTTTTAAATACAATGCTTACCATACTATATATAAAATTGATCGAACACAGCACAATGCCCACCATGAGACCAAAAAATTGGGTAGTCTCATGAAGTAAGAATGCAATGATTTCAAATGCAGAAATATTCCTGTAAAACTTGCCTTCATGCATAGCACTAAGACCTTTGCTATCATATGTGAGATTATCAGCAGTAGCTTAACTGTACTCAAAGTCACTAATTGAAACTGAATGCAAGATAAGAAATCTCTTAAAGTAACACTAGGTTAGTCTTGGGTTTCAAGCCATCAAGGAAGATGAGCTTTTTGAGAAATATTTGTGGAAGTGTAGCATGTGGATCAAATATTAGCTCTAGATGCTTAGCAGTCTTCCTGTTGGGACACCTCCATGCAAGACTGATAGCAGCTACTACAGAAAGTCCTGAAAGGCAAACATATTTGTCTTAAGAACCACTAAATGCAGTTACATATTGCAGCAAACTGAACAGCATGCATATTGCTCTCTTATTTTTACACCTCATTGAGCCAAACAGGTTGTATTACACTCAAGTGAACACTAAGAGCAGCTCAACTCCTAATCTACTAACCACCTAACAAAACATTTTTTATCCTACTGACATAATTCAAGGCACACACAAGTGATTTTTAAACAACTGATCAAGTACTCCACCACTTATCATAGGATGTAATTCACAGTATTTCATTAATATTTGTACAAGCTCTTGAACATTTCACATGCTAAATATCAGGTGTCAAGTACTTTGGCTCCAGCTTCAAGAAATAGAATATCCATCTTGTAACAGAATGTTGGCTGCTCTTTATCCCTACACAACTTAGTAGTAACACACCTCATGAACAATCTCTCCATCCAAATGAATACCAGAACAATATCTGAAGCTGTTACTCTCCACAATCATTTACCACCTTTCTAGTCTAGTGAAAATCTAGTAGCCTTCCTCATCTTAGATGCATTAAAATAAATAAGAAATAAAAAGCTTTTAAAAGGTACACAATTATCAAACAAACATATATAATGTAATATGGTTACTGGATCTCAACCAGCATAGCAGGCTGCAAAATTGAGCTCTGTACAAAGAAAAGTGATAGCACAGAACCAGAAAGATTGCAAATCCTGGGCCAAGCTGCGTTTTTAATTGTATTCTAGCAAAATAACACCCCAATCAGCCAGTAAAAAGATCTCACAGAACATCAAACAAGATAATTTAAAATTCTTACACTTAACTAATCTACAAAACATTTCCTTCACATCTAAACAGCACTAATACAACAAAAATTTACAAAACTTCCCAAAGAAATTCCTTCCACTTAGTACAAAAATCACTTCATGCTAATCCTGCAGGTTAATTCTACCTTTTCTCCGTATCAGAGAAAGCAAAAGGAAGAACAAGACCACAGGAATTTCCTTACCTCTGATATCCAGCAAGAGGCACCCCCTATCAAACAGGAGGGGCACTTAAATGCCAGAAACTGTCATCAGCTCTTGCCACTCCAGAGCACAGCATGATCAGCTGCTCTGTGGAGGTGGCACAGGCTTCGTGTCCAGCTGCATGAGGGACCTCTGTGGACACAGAGCAGACTTGGCCAAGTGGAATCTTCCATCAAGTCATCTTACAACACAGAATGCATGTTGCATTTTTTACAAAATTAATTTTGCAAACTGAAGCCTCAAATACAAAGCCATGAGACCTCAACTTCTTACAAACCAATAAATACGTGAACATTAAAACTACTTGTCATTTGCCGCTTCTTCCATTAACTTACAGAGCCGAAAAAAATCTACCCTTTTGAAGTTCTTGGGTTTTTTTAAATCATCATGGCTAGGTTTCACGTATGAAGATTTGGGATTTGGTTGTTTGGTTATTTTTTAAATAGCAATCAGCGGTGACCAAGTGACTGGTCTGAGGCCACCTAATACATTAGCAACATAGATTTAAGAGACTGAGTGGGTAACATTTCCTGCAGTTTCAACTTTCTGAGAACGCTCAAGCTTTAAACTCTCAGAAAACCTGTCCCCCAAAGGCAGAACCCTCCATTTAATCCTGAAACTTGAACAGCACACATGGAAACCAGCAACAGCACTTTTCCATGCTTCCTTTTTAATATTCTAATCCTTCACGCTCAAAAGCATTTTTACGCAGAACTAAACACTTCGGCCTCAGAAACCCCACCAATTTTACAGACAAAAAAAGGTAAGACCGCTGAGTATCTGTTTCGAAGCCAGTCCAGCTGTTTGGTTATGACTGTACGACTGACACAGAGCATCATTTCCAGGAACGATCTGTTTGCTGGGCAGGCTGACACTGGAATCAGACCCCACAGGGTTCCCCAGACCCCCAAACGAGCCGCACAGCGACCGCACGGCCCGGCCTCCCCGAGCAGTGCCCCGGCGCCGCTCGGCACCCCCGCCGGTCCCGCCCCTGCCCTCATCACCCTCACACTCCGTCTCCTACTGAGGCTTACAAAGTTCAGACGGAAACCGAGGCGACCGGGCACTGAACACTTCATCCCGAGCACCGCAGGACATCCCCCCACCCGCAGGCTCGTCCCTCACGGGCCGGCCCGGAGCGCCCGGCGGGCGGTCAGACGCCGGCGATGCGCCCGGGACCGGCCTGCAATCACGGCCGAGCGGATTTCAGTGCGGGCACACAGCACAGGAGGCTGGTGCCCCTCCCGCGGTAGGCGAAGCCGATCTCCTCCAGCACCGCCCCTGCAGCGGTGCAGCCCTTCCCTCCCGCAGCCCGGGGCGCGCACACGCCGCAGCGGGGGCAGCGCCCGCGGCCCCGGCGGGCTCCCACCCGCGGGGCGGCCCCGCCGCTCCCCCGCCTCACCTGCCGCTGAGTGGCGGTGCCGCGGCGCCCGCACCCGGCGCGGCGACTCCTCCGCGCCCTCGCTGTCCCCGGCGGCGGCGGCGGCCCCGACCACCGCCACCCCCCATCACCGCCCGGAAGCGGCGGCGGCGGCGGCGGCGGAAGGGGCGGGACGGGCCCCGCCGCGGCCTCTCCGGGAGGGGCCCGGAGCTGTGCGGGAGGATGGAGGTCTGTGCATGGTCTGCAGCGTGTTGTTTAGACCTCGTAAAACAAAAAAATAAGTAATCCGTAATCCGCACAGAGACCAGCTGAAGGGAGACGCAAGGGTGTCTTGCGCATGCTTAGACCAGGCTAAGGGACTTGTTCTCCTGGAAGATACCATAGCATATGTTTTTTCCATATGACCTTTCTCTCCATCACTGGGAACTTAGCACAGCCTGGATGCGAGAAAGACACTAAACAGGATTTATTTTTTTTTTTGAGAGTAAAAACACAGAGTGATCCTGACATAATTTAAAAAGCCACCTGTGCATTAATGAAAAATATCCCCATCGTTCATCTAAAGGCATGTGTCAGGACAAAACAGCAGAGAAAATTTACAGGAGCCTCGTCCTGTCAATCCTCATATCAATCCTCATATCAATCATTGCAAAACATTTCAGTTGCAGCATTATTCTTTTCTGATGCCCGTAGGAAAAAAAATAAAACTGCAGCTGGCTGACAGGACTCAGTCATTTATCCACAGTGATCTGCAGCACAGATGTGAACAGCACAGATGACTTAGAGCTCCAGCAAGGCACTGTAATTTCGGGAGTTCCATAACCTATAAGTAATACAAATGGAGAGGATAGAAGGAAACAGACAAATTAGAAACAAATTAGTCCAGAAATAAATTTATTTTGTGTATCAACTGACTGTGGTAGCAGCCAGCCCTTTGCTGCAGTTTGCAGAGCACTGAAATTTGCTTTGTTGATGATGTAATAAGTATGAGGTCCAAGACAAGTCTAAGTAAGTTGTAGCTTCAGTAGAAGTCAAAAGCAGGTGCTAGTGTAGCTCCATTAAGTTAATGACATTAGCCTTTTCAGAGAATGTGGCCTCGTGATCTTGATTCTAAATGAAAAAAAAAAAAGATCTTTCACAATGCTTACATGCTCCTGTAGTGAAACAAGGAAATTTTGCATTTCAAAGTGCTTCAAAACTGCATCAAGTTGTCATCATCAAGCAATCTAATGCAAATATCCACTGTTGTACAATCTCAGTTGTAATCGGCTGTATACTGGATATTCAGATCAGAAACAAGCTGTGAGAACTGCTTTTTTCCACATGCCCTGATATTGGTTCTAAGGTGCATATCTCTAAGCAGTCTGTTCTGTCCCACTTTTATTTTTTTAAATGATGTGGTTTCCCAGAATAACTTGCTTAAGTTGGAGGGAATGTTCCACTTTCTTTGCCAGTTTAGCAGCCTCTGCAAACAATGTAAGAATCAAGTGTGATTTCAGTCCTCACAATGTTCCCCTTCTTTCTCTTTTTGATGTGAAATTTTCTTTACCAACTGCCAGTCAATTGCACCTTGGTAAAATTTACAATACATTGCTGCATGTGCTTGTATTTGAACAACTTGTATAAGCTAAAAATGTAAAAATAAGCACAAACTGAAATTAAAAATTGCTGCAAAAATAACTATAGCAGGCTGCAGGGCTGTCTCATCATGGAATAGGTCACCATGACAGTGTCTGAAGCACAGTCCTGAAGCTAACTCACATTTCAGGTTCTCATTCTTAGCCTTCTCATGGGAGGTGCCAGGAAACTGCTGCTTTGTTCAGAGTGCTATGGCTCTGTGATGTGGTTTGGTTTTTTTTCATCTAAACATGCACAAGAGTCTACCAGCTCACCAGATTCCAGGAAGGAAACAAAAATTAAAGCAAAAGTTTCCTTACCCTGTTTCTCTACACAATTTGTAGCAAGACCAGCAATCCAACTAAAAATTACTTCCCAAATTCAGTCTATAGACTTCAGAAGTCAAGGTTGGAAAATGAGCTATATTTAGACAGGCATATGAATACAGGACTATCTGAAGTTTACAGGCTCTAAGGTATGTTATTCCAGCAATTGATTTCCATGCAGTGAACCCCTGGCCAAAAGTTGCATCCAGAGTAAAAGTGAGTAAGACAGACAGACATACATACACTGGAGAGCACCCTGTGTCTGGCTACAGAGGGTGCTGGGCTGGTTTGCAGCAGTGATTTGCCCAGTGACAGGAAAAGGAGTAATGGTCATAAACTAAAACACAAGAAGTTCCACCTCAAGATGAGGAAGAACTTCTTTACATTGAGTGTGGCAGAGCACTGGAACGGCTGCCCAGAGAGGTGTTGGATTCTATCTCTCTGAAGACATTCAAAACCCACCTGGATGTGTTCCTGTCCTGCTCTGAGTGACCCTGCCTTGGCAGGGGGGTTGGATTGGATGATCTCCAGAGGTCCTTTCCAACCCTAACGAATCTGTGATTCTGTGAACCTCAGCACTGGAAAAAGGCTTGATCTTCAGTTTCTATCCAAAGTTATTGCTAATGGCATTTTTATGTTCTGTCTATTTTCATCACCTAACAAATATTTTGAAAATTACCAAATAAGCTTGCACAGAGAAGTAATAAATAGCATAATTTAAAACTTGTATCTCTTAGATGAAAGTAGATGTGTAACAGCAGCTTGGCTGCTGCACTTCAAAGCTGAAAACTACTTCTCTTTGCTAACAATTGATGTTCTTTAAAAGGGTGAATTATCTAAATAGTTTGTGCTTTATTTAACAGAAATTTCCAATAAACCTCATTCCTTCACTTTGAGTTATGTCACTTCATGCCATGTGACATGAAGGCATTGATGTAAGTTTGACAGGCAGTGCCAATGCTGACATGTCAGTTTGAGAATTTGTGACAAGCTCTATACTACAGATCTTTTTAAAACAACTATGGATTGCCAAGGAAAAAAAGTCTTTAAAATGTGTAATAACACTGATGCATCTTTAGATTGAAAACAATTTATTCAATTCAATAGTTAGATTGATTTAATGTTCAGGCTGACACTTAATACAATAAAAGAAAAGAAATTTATATTGAAAATTCCCAACTAGCTCAAGTTACAATATATTATATAGCAAAGGAAAATGAGATGTGTTAATGTAATGTTTTGGGGTTTTTTAAAACTGTCATTAAAGAATACTGTTAGCATTTAATAATTTGAAATAATCTGTCTCAAATTTTAAGACCCTACACAGAAAAAAAAAGGCCTCAGCTGAACAGAGAAAGAACTGCTTATGAAAAATCTCAGCCAGCAAAGAATACAATATGGCAAGGGGAATGTCTTTCACTAGAAGTGCTAATTGATCTAAATCATGCTCTTTTTTTTATTTTCTGGGTTGGAGGATGCGTTGATTTGGTAATATCATTTTTGCACAGATCAGGTCCTGCCCTATAATTTCTTTGTAATCTCTTTACTTCATTTGAAGAATACTTAGGTCAGTCATGTGTGAACTTTCAAGCATCTGTTTTATCTTCAAATTTCTTAATTCTGTACTGGAAGAAAAATAGATTGAATGCCTAAGGGCTAATCAAAGTAGTGAATCATAATCATTTTTCAAGACACAAAATGAGCTTATTAGAGGAGAAAAAAAAGGGGGGAAAAAAGAATTAACTCTTTATGATCATCAGACAAACTTGTTTCATATGTTAAAAATACATTAATATTGTGGAACACCAGAAAACTGTCTCACTTAGCATTTACCAAAACGTACCAGAATTCAAATAGTTCAATCCTTCTTCAATAGTTAACCATCTCAAAAATTAAATCCTGAAAACAGGCTGATGAGTGAAATGAGAAGATCTTTTGCAGGTGGAGACACTGTATCTATAGAACCCTAGCTAGCTGAACTTCCATTCTGTAATGTTTTCCCTGTAAAAGCTTTCTTCTTTCAGGATATGTGAAAGGAGCCTGATTTTGGCCCTGTTTTCATTAAAGAGATGGAAAGGCGTCACAGGCATCAGTTAGAATTGATAGCACTAATTTCAATAGAAGAAATAGAAAAGCTACCATGAATTTCCCGTTCTCAACTGCTGCGCATTTTCCCGATAATGCCGTGCTTCGGGCTACTAGAGCACTCCATGGCAGTTTACACTGTTGCTACCTAATATATTATTAGCCAGGGAATGTTTGATTTAGATTATTGCAGCAAGTACTACCTACAAAGTAATCACAAAGGCATAGTCCAAGTAGAAGGATGCCTTCTGTTGCTTGTTCTGAAATTAATCATGCATTAATTTCAACTGAGACAGCAGCTACTGTTCATATATAATTACACACAAATGTTTGGTTTAGTGCTGCCCACCATTCCAACAGCCAGGAGAACCTCCAAATTCTTGGAATTTCTGTGCCTCCTGCACAGAAAGCTACATTTGCCTCTATTCAGTATGAACATATATCAGTTTGTTGCTTTTTACATCCATTCTTAGTAGATTTAAAAGGACCTGGAAAAAAGCACGGATGTAGAGAGGCAAATGTATCTGAAAGCCAGATCTCTGCCTCCTGTCTGTTTCAAAGGCAACTCCTGGCTAAAAAAGGTCAGTAACGCAGCTTTACCAAAGCCATGCTTGCAGACTATTAAATGTTTAGAAGATGTTAGATGTGGAATGTCAGTCTTTTGAAGCAGATGGCTGCATGCCATACAAATGTTGAAGGCACTCAGGACTTGGAGATCATTTTTGCTGGAGTTCATGTTTTTCTGTTTGTCATCTCTCATGCTGCAGATGAACTTTGAATTCTTAGTCAGTGCATTTGGAGTAGAGGCCAATAAAAGTTTTGCAGCTGAAAAGGGATAAACTTAAACATGAATGTCACCTACTTGACAGAACTTGATTGGCAACAAATGGGCTGGGGTTACATTTAATAAAACCTCATAGTAAAGCCTCACTTTGAGCCTCCACCCAGAAACCTGAGAAAAGTAAACTAAATTGAACAACTTAACCTGCTCAGTCAGTTTGAGCACAAATCAATCGGCTTAAAAAGCGCTAGTTTACTGAAGGAAAAAAAGAAGACCAAAACAGAAAAACAAGGTAACATATTAAGGGCATATACCTATTGCTTGTAGTATAACTTCAACCATTTTTCCAGTCCTGTCCTCTGCTGGATCTGACCAGCTGATTGCCTCACTCACAGCAGAGCCTGACTGCCTTTCCCTCTAAATAAGGCCTGACTGCCTTTCCCTTGCCCCCTCTAAATAAGCACTGCAGTGCTATTGCTTGTAGTTTCCCTTATTTCACCTTTTAGGTCAGAACATATATGGCAGGGGGAAGTAACAAGTCTCTTTGTATACAGCATGCTCTTAAGCAGTTTCTTCCCTAAATCCACGGAATATTAGTAATTTCTGCTTCATGGGATATTCTATACAAAGTCACTTTCTTTCCTCTTCTTGCAGATGACTTTTGCCCTCTGATGCTGGAAGTTATAGCATCGTATTATGGTGATCTCTCACCCTGAGTATTCCTAAGCATAGTTAATTAGTCCAGACTTTAATACCCAGTTTGAAATGGCTCTCCATGATATGTCTCTTGATAAATTAGAGTAAACCTTCTCTCCATCATAGTATATAAATGCATGCAGAATAAAGGTGGCTCAGACCTGACCAAGAGCTCTTTTCATTCATTGCCTTTTTTCCACAGGGGATACTATCAGCAGCAAGCTTCTCCTCTTGAATCACCTTCTCTGGTGGACTGCCAGGCTTACAGAGAAAGAGCATCACTGTTTCTTTTGTTTTGCCTCGTAGCTCCATCACTGACAGTTTTACAGCCCCCTGCCAGGAGTCACACATCCTGCACAGGCACCGTTGTACTTGAAAGGGCCCAGTAATACTACAGTTTGATAGAATGGGTCTCTAACCTGTGGCTCTCCAGACCTTTCTATATAAACTAACTCAGTGGCTCACAAGTTTCACCTGACAACCATTATACTCATGGTCTTTGTTCTCTTTTCAACAGAGGGAGGTATCATGGAATACATGGCAGGTGTATTGTATTAACAGAGTGATGAAAGAAGTTACTGCAATAGAAAATATTAAAAATATGAAGTACAGTTAGGCTCAGATAATTTTACTCAGTGAAAAAAACCACTAACTTCAAGAAATAAATTTCTCTAGATTATCAGTAATAGGCAAGACATAATCATCTGCTTGGTCTTTAACCTCCTGGTGACCATGTTGGTAGGACCTGCTGGTGCATCTCTGACCCTTTCACAGATATGTTTTTAAGCACCTTAAAATAAATGGCAGACAATTGTTAATGAGACAGTTGCCACTCTATTTGCACTGGACAGGTTTCTATTTTTCGTTTATCAGGCCTTTAAATGCTTGTGATGAGTGCCCATGCTCTGTCGAGGACATGACTGAGAACAGTCACAGCCCTGTTCTGGGGGGTGTCCTGCGGGCAGGGGGCTGCTGCCACATGTGGCTGATGTGCCCGGTACCAGGGCTGCTGTGCAAGCTCTGAGAAGCGGACTGGAACAAGTGAGGACCCAGCAACGCCCAGTTTGGTCCCTGCACCTGTTTGAACTGGCTGCGCCGGTTAGGGTACTGCAGAGGCGAGGGGACAGCGCTGGGGAGGGGGCCCGGGGGCGGCTGCAGCGCAGGGACGGCCTGGCTGCCGGCACAGGCTGGCTGCCGGCACCTGCCCCAGCCCATCTCCAGCCCATCTCCAGTCTCCCCGTGACCGACCGGGGCTGGCAGCGCCCCAGGGCCCAGCGCCGGACTCCGGCCGGGGCAGCGGGGTCTCTGCCTGGCTCCCAGCATGTCCGGGGCGGAGGTGCTGGACACCCAGGGACCTGCAGGCGCTGTGGAATGCACAGGGGACGTCCCCTCTCTTAAAGAAATCGAGCAGCTCCTGAACACCGGGCGGCCCTCTTGCAACCACGTTGATGAAGTATGGCCTAATCTCTTTCTAGGAGACCTGTAAGTACAGCTTTATGGACACACCTCTGCCATACCTTCTGTCTGTTAGTATGCCTCATGGGTGCGGCTTTAGACAGCTCATAGCTTTCCTAATTGCTGTCATTTACACTGCAGACAGCACGATTTCCGAGATAAAATTATGACTCAGCTGGTACTTGCTTCTAGGTTAGCCCTTAGAGGCAATGCACAGCCTGATGCTCCAGCTTGGGAAATGCAGTCTCACAGTGCTACTCCTGATCTGTGAATGTCACTGCACCCATTTGATTTGTTTGCCTTTGTCTTTTCCTTAGAGTAACAGCTCACAACAGATTTATTTTGTGGAAGATGGGCGTGACCCATGTTTTAAATGCTGCCCATGGCACAGCCTACAGCCACGGAGGCCAGGACTATTATGGAGCGACCATTCATTATTATGGTGTACCAGCCCATGACCTGCCAAGCTTTGATATAAGCCAGTTCTTTTTCTCCGCAGCACAATTTATCCACAAAGCCTTGAACACTCCAGGAGGTATGAAATTATTGTTGGTCATATTTTTATGCAAGTTGGCAGCCTCTTATAACAGATCAGCTCCACAAGCTCAGTGGTGGACGAGTCACTACATGGTGTCCTGCTAGCTGCGGGTTACCTGCACGGTGGGTGGCAGGAGGAGGGAGTGCTGTGTACCTGGACGTAGCTCTGACTAGGTCCCAAAAAGCTTATGTGAGAAAAGAAATGAACAGTGCAGGAGAGAGACTGGGATGGAGAGAGGAAGAGAGGGGAGGAGAGGAGAATATCTGGAAGGAAAGGCTCATTCAAAAAAAGCAGAATCAAAAACATGCATTTAAAATGAACACCCTCTTTTGAGACCCTTTTATAGCAACGGTACTTATAAGAACAAATGAATAAAGAAACAAAAGTCCTAATTTCTACAATCACCAACTGTATGAGGAGGCTCAGATATTGCAGATGAGCTTCTTGTTTGAACATGGCCTGCAGGGCTGTGTCCCCAAGGAGAAGAATTACCTTTACCCAAGGAGATTTATAGTGAATTGCACAAGAAACTGAGCTTCTTGGCAGTGGTACAATATAATACTAATTAACCTGTTTTACATAAAAGATCATTTCTTAGCATGAGTAAACTGGTATTAATGGAGATGTCTCTATATCACAAATTTTGCCTTCAAAATACAATTACAGTTGCATCAAATTGCCTTATTATGCAATGGTACTAGCCAGTCATTTTTCTTTTGTTAGTGCCATCCACTCAGGCCAAATTTTAACATTCTTCTTCGCCTAAGTAAGCCCTTTGAAACCAATTGGTCTGATTTTCCTCTTTCTCATAACAGAACAACTTCATTACTTCAACAGGGGTTTTTTTCTGTGATTTGCCATTGTTTCTGACATCAGGGGGGGATCTCATGGCACTTCTTACACAAGTGAGTGTAACAATGGCAAATTAGAGTTAATTGTTAGCAGTTCATATGATTTATCAGAAGGGTAAGAAATACATCATGTTTGCAGTGTTACTGTGAATAAGCTGGAGAAGGCAGAAGGGCTTTGCCTTCCCTTTAAATTAAACTTTGTCCACTGTACTGCTTCTCTTCCATGGTTATAATTTTTTAAATTTTTTTTTTTACCAGCTAAAATATTGGTACATTGTGCAGTTGGAGTAAGCAGGTCAGCTTCCCTAGTCCTGGCATATCTCATGATAAATCACCACCTCCCATTAGTTGAAGCCATCAAAACAGTGAAGGAGCATCGATGGATTTCACCCAATCGTGGCTTTCTGAAACACCTGCGAAATCTGGATGTTCAGCTACGGCAAAAGAGGGACTGCTGACTGGGCAAACCTATTTGCATTCACTTTACTGAGTTTCAGCCTTCACAGTCATTGTGCATACACAACTTCCTATGATCAGTGCATGTTACAAAAATGAAGAAAATTATGCATCAAAGTAAAAGGTCAAGAGAACTGTAAATGGATTAATTTTGATAGTTCAGTTCCTCCAAGACCAGCTCAACCAACATCAGCACTGTAAGCACTGTGGAGCTGCCCTGCCTACAGTGGCACTACCATATAAATCCACTAAAGTGGTTAAGATGGACCGAGTTTGTTCCTGGTTTGTGCTAATGCCAGAGGAAAGTTCAGTAATTGCATCTAGCTGTAAAGGATGTTTGAGTCTCCTTTACTTGGGAGGGTAACATAATCATCTTCGTCAGTTTGGTTACAGTTCTCATATGCATGTTCTCATAAGAAAAGCTTTTTGTGTTTGAGGCCTGGTTATGTGGCAAGGGCAGTTTCTTAAGAGCCCAGGGACTCCTACAGAAACATTCCTCTTTCACAGGTCTGCTAAATATTACAGTGCAATAGAAAGCTGTGACAGCCAGAAGACCCACACCAGCAGAATAAACGTCTGTGAAGCTCTCTGCAGTTTGGGTCAGCAAAACCACAAATCTTTTCTTGTTAAATACATTTTCAGCAAGATAATGTATATCATGTAGTATATTGAGGACATTAAAAAATGTCAGGTCTCTGAAGCATTTTGTAAGCTTAAACTCATCAGTTCGTTCTCACTCCAACTTATCCCAGGTCAGTTCTGTGTCAGTGGCTTTGAATCATCCATGGTTTAATATCAGGTAGAAGCTTAGCTTACATCAGTGGCTTGGCTTTAATTGATACAAATTAGTTTTAAGCTGTTTTGAGCATGTCACTTTTCCTATCACCAGTTAATCGGTACTTAAACCAATGTGATTTTTAATATAGCAACTGCATTTGAAATTCATGCTACCACTCTGACTGAAAATTAGCTTCTTACCTTGTGGTGAACCATGAAGTGATAATCGAATTTGGTTTTGCCCTTTGCTACTGGTTTGATTTATTGGTTAGTTGACCTTATAAAGATTCTCTGCTAGATTAAGTAAATACCTTTCTGCTTGTTTGTTTGCATTTGAAGCATCAGTTCTGATCATTTTCCTCTCTGCTGGAAGAGAGCTTATTAGAAGACTAAAATAGTGGTAAACTTGTCAGTTGAACCTCTTCCTTCCCAGACCCCCATATTCTCCTTAATTCTTGGAGATGTTATGACATGAATGCTGATTCTGCCTAGCATTTATGGGAATTTAGAAATCTGTCCCTATTTTGCTGTACACAAGTGCTTTGCAAAATAAGCATATTTAAGATTCTTTCAGACATCAATTTCACTGTTCAGATTTTCCTAAACCTTGCCAAAGAGCTCCACTGATGAGAGAAAGATAAGACACTGTCATGTAAAAAGATCAAATAGGAAATCACATTTAAAACCCAACAGTGGTGGGACAACTTTTATAACTCACAAAGAAGCAAGGTGGAGGAGGAGGAGCTGGGTTTGCTTTGAAGTTCTCCATTAAAATTAATAGGGATTTATATGACTTAATATTTCATTATAATTTATACTTCATTCACATTACAGTAGCTTTTAATCTGGAAACCTTTTGAAGACTTGGCATTGAAAAATCTGAAACTCATGTGAGTGAAATAATGCATTTTAGTGGCTTTAGGCTGGGCAAAATTAGACACATGTGAGCAAGATTAATGGAATCTCCCCATCAGGATAATGCTTTGCATGCCCCTGAACATCTGTCCTACAAAGCCACAGCTGTGAAAGCTGCTCCTGTTGTAAATTAGTACCTGCTCTTGAAGATACTGCTTATCCTGGGAGAGTATTGTTTTAGCAGGGGTAGAGGAGAGATGAGTACAGAGCAAAGCTGAGTCAGTAGGGCATCCAAGCCACCAATGACATGGTAGTGATCTTGTAAGCAAAACTTACCTCAGTGGAGAGAATGAACTAGTGCTCTTTTCAAGGGCACTAGCAAATCACAGAAGTGTTTTTAATGTGTGGAGTCAGCATTGCCTATATTTACCATCTGTCTGCATTGCCCCCTTCCTTATATACAGATTAACTTTGACTCCAGCTTTGTTCAGGAAAAAAGATTCCAGTCAACATAAGCAAAAGCAGAAGAGTTAGCACATCACAACAAACAATGCTTTCTGTTTTAAGAAGTTACATGACTAAGAGGAAAAGGGACCTCCTCACCTGTTACTTACAGTACCCAAAATTCAAGTCATACTGGGATATGACATTAGCACTTCATTTCTTTCTACTATCAGCATGAAAACTTGTATTTTGAGTGGTGGTTTGGCAAGTTAGACTAAGGAACCAAAACAAAGGAAAAATACTTTCTTGCCAGTGGCACTTCGTTCAGAAAAATGCACATTTGTTAAGAGTGTCTACACAACCCAGGAGAATAAAGGCACTGAAATTTAACTTCTAACTGAGGGAGAATTCCATTTTGAAAGATGTTTAAATACCTAAAGGTAAATTAGGTACCTGCTGAGCTGGCCAAAGCACCCAGGCTCATGCAGCAGTGCCTGTATACCCTCCCAGGAGCTTGCAGGAATTGTCAGTCCTGGTGGTCCTTCTTGACCAGGAGCTAATTACCTTCTATCTCCTCTGAAGCTACAGGTGCACAGACCTTCCTGCCCCAGACTTTGTGGGACAGAAATCCATTCAGGTTACAAAATACTTAGAAACTCCATCCAGATCAGGAAGCTCATGAGCTGCAGCTAGATGGAACCTGGGAGAGGTTAGAAAGCAGTATAATTCATACTTGTGTGTTCTTACTTTCTATAGACATCCACTTTGCTTACATCCAGTCAGGCACAGGATAGTGGGTAAGGCCCAGGACAGTGGCTCTCATGATCTTTATTTTGAACTTACCCTTAAGATGCGCTATCCCCTCTTTCCTGGTAGCTTATTATTAGAACTGGGTCACATGAGGCATTTGGGACTGTGTCTCAGTTGCATTGACCGACATTTCTTTCCCAGGGAAAGCTCTATGCTGGCAGGAACAGCAATACAGCTCATGTGGGGAGGGGAGTAGCATTTTTTTGCCTAAGATTCAGTTAATGCAGAGTTTTCGTTTTTCTGGCTGTTGCCCATTGCATGAGGGATGTGGCGCTGAGCTAATCCAGGGAGGCGTCAAGGCGCGTGCCGTATTTAGAGTCAGCCACCTGCTTGGAACATCAAGCGGCAGCAAAGAGCCTGCTTCAGCACAAAACTGCCCTGTGGGTCCTGCAGCAGCGCCGTCCAGCAGGCCCTCCTCTGCCTAAATCTGCGTGTGGCCTCCGAAGGGGTCAGCACCTGAAGACAGTCAGACCCTGTCAGCCTGGGAATGCTCTGAGGCTGGCACTCCCTCTGCCCAGGAACTGCCAGATATTTTGGACAGCTGCAAGGTGGAAGTAAATCACGTGGGTGAAGAGTGGCCTAATCTCTACATAGGCAATATGTAAGTGTTATTTGAGGCTGAGCTGTTCTGAAGGGCTGGGAAATACAGTACTCGTTAACATATGCTGTCCAACTTTATTTAGTTAGCATTGGTAAACTTCATTGCCTTAAAATAGACTTAAGATTAGCATAGAAGAAAGAAAAAGGATGATTCATTAAAGAAAGAACCCACTGAACAGAAAATTAATTAAAAAGAGAATTAGACTCTATTGCTTTGCATTATTTTATAAATGCTGCAGCATTTACCATACAAAGCACAGGACAGACTCATGATCCTGAGCAGCCTTAAAATTGAACAGTGATTGGTTTTACCTTTTTTGTTTTAATTTAACTAGAACAGAAATTTTCACATTCAAAAGTATTCTGATTTTGGCTGTTTATATGACAACTTGATTTGCAGTTGAAATTTCTAACAAAAACAATATCGATGTTCTGAATGACAGCAGACTCTACTGTTTGTTTTTCAAAGCTGTATAGATGGATATTTCACTCATGCAGTCATCTGCACTCAACATGCCTAGTGCCTGATGTTATGCCAAAACAAGTTTTTTTCACCACCACCAGGTTGCAAACTTGTTGAAATACCTGGAAATTAAAATTACAATAATTCCTACATGAGAGAAGCAGGAGGAACTAACAGTCCTTTGACTAATTGCCCATTGATTACAGATAAATGTGGGCATTCTTTTAGCTATGAAAAAGCAGAGCCAAAAAAAATGAGCTAGGTGATGGGGAAATAATTTTCATTTACAAAACTTGGTTTTACAAATTGCAACCTGCTTCCCAATCTCACTGCACTTCTAATGAGGAGTGTGACACCCTGCAGGTGGGCCCAGCAACAGGGGCCATGAGTGTGGAAAGGCAGAAGCCAACACAACAACATGCAGTGCTTCACTGAACTTCTGCCTTGGCAATGAGAATGGGGAACCAACCTCAGCTTTTCCAGTTAAACCTTGTAACTGTACTTGGAAATTAAAGTTTTACTTATTAGAACCATTTGGATTTGTACAATTGAGCCCAACAGGTAGTAAAAGTAAAGATTTAATACAAAAATCACTGAAATTGGTGGGGAATAAAATGTAAAATAGTGTATGTGTAGTAAGGAAAAGATAAACTTTGAGAACATTCAGCTAACAGGAATAAAAATGTAAACAGGTTTGTTTGCTAATGCAACAGCTGATCGCTAATATCAGCTTAAATACAAGTTACAGACTGCAAATAGTGAAACTGGAAGTTGATCAAGTGCTACAGACAGAATTTTCTTCATTTTGCCAACATCAATAAGACAAATATGAACAACTCCTGAGAATAAGGTTTCATGGGATCTTCATGAGATAGAAATGGGGAATAGAGTATTAAATTAATCATTAAGTATTTGCATTTAGGGCCCAACCCAATACTCAGTGAAGTCAATAAGCAGTGGACGTTTCTATCGCTGAGCAAACCCATGCCAGCATCAGGACTCGTGTCAGAGCTAAAGTAACCCAAGCAGTACCATATATTGTCACTTCTTGTTTCTGTGGAACCAGTTGTGTGCAGTTTCTGAGCAACTACTTGGAAATCAAAGATCAATCTAGAATTAATGCTGTATTTAATAAGAAATATTTCTCCTTATGTGTTTATCAGAAATCTGATGATCAGTATCTTTAAACAAGTTAAATCTATCTCATAAAATAAAATGGGGAAGGCTGATTTTATATGATGACCTTCATCCTGGAAGACTTTGAAGTTGTCAACAAACTGATTATTAAATATTTGTCTGGCTATCAGCCATTGTTTATATGCAAGGCCAAGGCCAAGACTCTCTGGGTTTAAAGGTAAAATGTTTTTTGAAATAGTACATAATAAGTGGCTGAGGTCACAATATGTAAAATATTGTGCAGAAATCAAACCTCATGCTGATCTTAAGCAGGCAGGTTTGTTTACTGGAGTTTAGCCAGATTGACAAGGCTAATATCGTTTCATCAAAGAAACATCATACAGGGTGAGGCAAAATGGTTACAGGATGGGCTAAAACCTTGTGTATTCTTTCAACATACATATTTCAAGTTTAATGATAGGAGGACCTGAGCTACCTCCTGAAGTGCATTTTTGTAAGGTGTTTAGGCCAGCAATCCCCAATGCCTTTGTAGTCAACTGGACCCTGTAAAACTTGTTGAATTTATTTACTTGTAGAAGTGAAATAACTTGGAATTCTGCATTTCCAGATATGTTTGAGTATATTCAGAAATCACAACCTTTTACCATTCTTTCACTGCCTCACTTTTTCTTGTAAATGTCAAAGGAGGAAAAATATCTCAAAGTCTGGTGGGCACTGCTCTCTACAGACAGGAGTACACTACAAGGCAATAAGATACCTTGAGCTACTTTTTGTGATGAGCTTTCATACATGATTCTCCTTAGTTCCACAACCCATAACAAGGAAGACCCGAAAGGGCTTGGTGACACCCATGCACTGAGTGCAGCACATTTTTGCATGGAGAATCAAATGAGACCCAACTTTCCATGGCCAGGAAATGCATTACTATGGAATACTTGCAGAGGACACGATTGACTTCCACCTTGTTGCACATTTCTGTACCACCTCTGAGTGCATTCACGAGGGCAAATGGCAAGGCCCTGTCCTGCTGGTAAACCACTGCTCCTACTCAGCACTTCCATTAAGCAATCACAAATTACTTTAGCAGCATTAACTAAACCTCCCTCAACCACTTGTGTGAGCCTAATTATCCACCTACAGACATCGTCTCCACTGGCAAGTGGGAGAACAGCAGGATCCTGAAAGATTAGGAGTGACCAGCAAAACCCTACCCACATCAGTGGCAAGGATCATACACGGTCTACTGCTAATCCATCAGAGTGTATCTTCTGTAGCCGTAGGGGAAAAAAACAATTATAGAAGGGAATGGTGCTGTATTTTAGTGAATGGGGAGAAAGTTCTGAGTTCTCAGTCAGAAATCACTGACTTTTTTAGTTTTTCTGTATTGATTCATCAGAATACACAATACAAAAATAGTTACTTTCTGGTTTGAGGAACAGCCAAAAGCTGCAAAGAGCTATTGCAGAGACATGCCAATTGGCCATTTACAATGCCTAATGCCATGTATTTCCCTCTGTTTCTGAACTCAGGTCTCTAGTAACAAAAAGTGGTTCTTGATTTATGAAAGGGATGTATGTAATACCCTGGAGGCTACTTTATCTCATCTCCTGTAAATTGGATCTGTTGGAGATGAGATAAGATGAGATGAGATGTGAGTGAGGCAGAAGAAATGCAATCTGTGACCATGGCACTATTCCTTGCAGCTGGAACAGCACTACATGTATTCATTGCTGTTTATAAGGGAAAAATCTTTATTTGTTGTATTCTTAGAAAAGCAGATCCGCTTCTTTTCTGCTGGCTGGCCTTATGATACTGTCACTTTGCTCTAGGCAATGCTATCCAAAGAGTTGGTCAGTAGTGAGCAATTTCATCAAGCTGCAGGATTTACATATTGAACTAAGATACAATATACACCTGTGTCAACTAAACTCTTACATGATTAAAAAACAAAGTGACAAGGAGAAATGTCAGACAATCTGAGTATGACATAAAGATGTAAGGAACATGTGTAAGGAACATGACCCAAAGTTTGGCATCAAATCTATCTTACCTGTTTAGGGTGTAGAAGGTTTCTGAATTTTGTATGCTCCAGTCATTCCTCGATCATTTGGTTAAATGAAGGCAACAAATGTGTTAGACACTCCTTTAGGATACATTCCTAATTTGTTGTCCATTCTGCTCATTCAAACTCTTCAAACTCAATTCCAAGAGAAAATAGGCCCCTGTTTAAAATTAAAGCTCTTAAGTATGTTCCTGGACATAAAAAGATGCAAATATGTTTTGCTAGATTGGGATCAGGGGAAAAAATTGTGCAAACCATACAAGAAGTCATCCAGGTGGGAGACAGAGACAGAGATTTTCACCTTGGTGACAATAGATGCTGAATGGCTGGGGACTTCCGCACGGTACCTTCCTCCTGCCATGCTCTCTGCCCAGCTCTGTCTTAGCTTTATGGACCTGAGAATTACTGCAAATGTAATAAATTTGCAGCCATTAATTAGCCTTTTTTTCATGCTCCGACTTCCCACCAAAATTCTTTTTATTCAAACGTTGCTGTGTCTCTACCACTAACAAACACAGAAAGTTCTTTAATTTTACAGAAATATTTTATAAAAGAACTGCTCTTTCAGCCTTACTCTTCTGGCTTAGAAGACAGGTTTCTCCCAGTAACCTGTTTTCTGTCGATGTCTCGCAAAGGAAAGGGGACTGTAAAGATAAAAACAGTTTTGAAATGACTACCCAAATTGGCAAGCTAAGCTAGACCACCCTGGGGTAGTTCTCATCTTAGAGCAGGTCTTGGAAAACAAACTGTAGTTTTAGACTGAAGTCCTAACCATGCAGAGGTAAAATAGCTGAGAAAGTTGCTGGTGGCAATTCAGCATCTCAACAGAACTCCATAGCATTTGCCCGGAGTTCGTTTGTCATGTGTGCATTTCCATAGAATATAATACAGTGCAACATCACAGCACCAATGCTGGGGCCAAACTAATCCTTGTGGAAACCCTCAGCTAAAACCAGCGGTGCAACCCAGAGCTGAATTTGCCCTCCTATTTCTGAAAAGAGAAGTCTGCCAAGGACATCATGGCCTATGAGGCACACATTGCTGGCAGGCTCTCAAGTGCCAAAATAGAACCGGCATTGCCAGCCGCGCACATCCTGTGCTTTGCAGGCAAGACACAGACAAGAAAAACAATCAAGTTGTCTGGTGGAAAAAGCGGCTTCCCAGGATCTCTCTGACCACAGTGTAATTGTGATCAATCCACATTGGCAAGTATCATCTTTCCATGTGTGTTCCGCCTAGTGCAGGCTGCCTGTGTGAGCAGCTCAGGCAGGCTGATGCATGCTTGTTATTGCCGGCATAAATATCTCTGCCTTGTGTTATTGTGGCACAAAGCAGCTGGACCATTTGAAAATCATTTAAAAAGCACTATAAAATTAGGGCTCCAGTGCTCTTATTTTATGACTTTCACAAGCAGCCGTTGCCTGGAGAGAAATTATCCTCTTTATTTTCCAGGCTAAAGGTTCTTTTAACATTCATCAAAATCAAAGTGCACCCTTGATAACACATCGAGCTGTTACTTATCTAGTACAGACTCTTTACCTTCTGCATAATATCACATTTGAGATCTCAGTTCTTCATATACAACTCATTTCATTGTGTCTGCTGTTGTTTTCACCAAGTGAATTTGCATAGTTTCTAGAGAGGTTGGATGATGCCCTGAAACACATTCTTTTCATAATTCCCTTTTTTTTTTTTAATTTTATTTTTAGAATAATAGCCTGGAGTGCTTTTGTTACCGATCCTTCTATAAAAATGGTCAATTACCTCTTTGGCAATGGATTTGCACAGACCAATTAAGGACCATAAGTGAAAGCTTATCAAGGACAGAAATAGTACTTATGTGCATAACCTGATGGACTCACCTTTCTGCATTCAAAAAAATCTCTTTCCCATATATAAAAAAAAAGGCTTTGATAATTTTTTTTTTCTATTCTTGTTTTTACAGACAGCTGCTTTACCAAACTCAGGAAAACGGTGAGTGAACCAAAGCAGCATGAAAAAATGCAAACAGTACAAAGGGAAAGCCATTCTTTTTAGAAATAAAAAAGAAGCACAGCTGCATCAACCATACTTACAGCTCAAATCTGAAGGGCTTAGGAAGAAACACTGCATGAAATCCTCAACCACAAAGGTGACAAGTGGGGAATGCCCTGCACATGCTCTGTGCTGCAGCTCAAGAAAAACACTGTGTCTCTGTGTTGTTTAAC